CTTTCACTTGTTGTATATTATCATCAAACTCCTTGTCATCTGTTGAATCACTGCTGTCTACTTTCCCACTGCAACCTGTAGACAATTGATGGAGCAACAATAGAACACCATGTCATGTTACTTGCAATCATATAACCAATCCTGGTACTACCATTGCCCACACAGGGCTGAAAAACATACGTGATGTGCCAATCTTTCCAAAAATAAATCAAGGATGCTGGAAAATTCGTATTTAACACGAAAATAGGTCGAGGTTTACAGGAGAAACTATTTGAACAGAGACATTGAAGAATGATGGGATATTCTGGAGTGTAACAATAGTCTAAAGAATATGGTGCATTGTGGTTTAGTTTGGGTACAAGAATCTATTGCTCATCATGACTTTTATAGTGTTGCTGTACCCAAGCTAGAACACAATGCATCATGTTTAATATGGTAAACAAGGTCAAGGTTGGTATCAGGGTCTTACACGATAAAGTACTTTTAATCAAATGTGCACTCTCGTCTGACAGCCTGTTGTAGGATGTAATGAACGACTTAGCAGCAGTACTTGATTCATGTCCATCTTCATCCTGAGGAGAAAAGGGAAAACAGACACAATTCATCTATGAGCTTTAGCACAGGTTCAGAGCGCACGACGCTGACACTGTACGACATGCCATAACATTGAAATGGCTTCCCTTAAGAATTGTTATCGTATGGGTGGGAAACGTACGGTTACAGCACGTACATGGTGCGACATGCCATAACATTGAAATGGCATCGTCTTTCAGTAATAATTCATTCAACCAAAACGAGTAGTTACTTCTACAGCAAGGTATGGTACAGCCATGAATTTGCAGGATCGTTTCTCGCTCATGCACTCACTCACTCCTAATATATATAGGTATGATACCTTGRCCATAGTGGTTAGCAATGCTTTCACTTCTGATACCAGCTGCTGATGTGTTACTATCAGTGCTTTGAGGGCATTGGTGTGGGACTTGAGTGATTCCTGAACAATAAAAGCAAATAATATCAACATCATCATCAACAACTTCAACAACACTACATCACATCACTAAACGCCAGCAAAATTAAAGCTTAATACTGCAAAACTAAAAAAATAAGGACTCACTCTCTTGGTGGTGACAGAACTGATAGCCTGAATCTTCCTGGACTTATGTGATGATATCTCTTGACTGACTGACTCCAGGTTGGTTTTCATCCATCCAAGAGTGATGGGTGCTTCAGGCGGACATTTGATGTTCAATAACGATGTCATCTCACTCACAGCCTTTAGCTTCACCAGAGATTTTTCTAATTCTGAGGAACTGTTCTTGCATCTGAAAATAAGTTACTCAGTCAATTGTGAGAAAAATACA